GAATATAGAATTTTGTAAAATATGTTAGTAGGTTTGGATATTTAAAGAATACCCTAGAAAATCATTTGTAACCATTAGATCCAAATTGTGTTGACAAAATCCTAATCGTTTGTAAGATAAAAGATACACACTAAAAGGGGGTGAGTAGTGTATGTCAAAAACTCGCACATTTTGAAATGTATTAAAGTAGCAAAAACTTTGACAGACAAAGTGCTGGAATGCAAGAGACGAATGAGTACAAATATTTTATATTGGTTCGTGTCAAACACAGAAACTACATCAAGTTCTCAATTCAACCAAATTGAGTTCCATTATCTTTCAAAAGATACAAGTATTCTTTAAATAAGCTACTTCTGGCTCAGGCCTAAGTAGTCTTTGACTTGCCTCTTCAAGCAACTACCCAAGTATTTTTTCAACAAGCCTTTCCAAGCTCAATGACCAAGTATTCTTTTCAACAAAGCCTCTCTAGGCTCAAACACTAAGTATTCTTTCAACAAGTCTCTCTAGGCTCAACTCTTACAAATAGAAACTCAAAAGGAGTTACAAAGATAGCTTCGTCTCTTCTTGACGTAATGCTATGAATAGTAAGCACAAATAGTCTACAGAGAACTATGTACAAGATTTACAATGAAAAGCTTCTTTGTAGTGTAAGATAATTATGTCTCATGTGGGAAATATGTAATATATAAAGGGACTAATAAATAAATAATTAAATAATTAAAGACTAGATCATAAATGGGTTTAATGGAGCATTTATGAGAATAATTGTTATTTAATGGAAATAAAAATCTTAGGGATTATAAATATCCACTTATGTGAGACAAGGTCCACACCCCTGATAGAAAGTATTCTCTCAAACCTTAGCCATCACGAAAGATAGAGAGAGTAGAAAGAAAAGTCAAAGGGAGTGGAATCTTGGTTCTCTTCTCAAGAAGATCAAAGCCCTCTAAGGATCAAAGGAGTTTTCTACTATGGAGAAAGGTACACATTTTTTTTATTATTATGTGAGTATCATGAATTTCAAAGATCCTTTATTTTTTTTATGTTCTATATTATATTATAACTCTATTTGTTGTTTGTACGATTTTTTCACTAAAAGTCTTCGAATATGTCATGTCACGAACACGCATAAATTGAAATCGTGCTAGTTCGAATAAAAAGAACCTACGAACAAAATTCCCCACAAACAAGTGCCTAATTAAGAGATCTCTAGTCCTTTTGGCAAAGATTTTGGAGTTTTCCTAGTCTAAAATTTTGAATGATTTTGTGAGGTTCTTATAGAGAAAGAAGGCTGCCAAAAAGCACCCATGTATGACTTTACAAGATGAAAAAATATAATAAGTTTGCTTCAGAGGTTTCAATTTCTTTTCTTTTATTTATTGCTTTATTTATCGTTTTTCTTGTAAGCAATAAAATAAGTATCATGTAGATAATAATGTTATATGTATGTAATAGATTAAGAATAATGTAGACGTTAATTGCTATGTATGCTTAATAAATAAGGGTAAAAATTTAATTAAGCTGTCGTAATGCTAAAATTGTCATAGGATACCGAGTTCGGGCGTTGTAGGGTGCCTAATACATTTTCGATACATAATCGACTCCCGAACCAGACTCTAGCTGTGAAGGCCAAAGTTAAATTTGCAAAAACTATTTTTTTTTCTAATGTTTTGTGCAAAATATTGGTGACGACTCTTTCAAACCAATTTTTCTTAAAAAAAACTATCACATAGAGGATTAGTTCGATTTTTAGGTATTCTAAAGCTAATGAGATTTTCAAACAGAGGTTCAAACCATCTGTCAAGCCAATTGCATTTTTCGGAAACACTAAAATTTTTTAGTGGGTTCCAACAAGGATAAAGCTAATATAAACATATATCTTCTTATTAGCATAACATTAACCGTTTTTTCACGCAAGTTTACACATTCTTCAAGCTACCAACCTGCATTTATTCCGCACAAACGAAGGATCAGCAGAAGCAAACATCCAT